AGGCATCTATACCTTCCTCGTACATGGGGATGATATCTGTATATTCCAAATATCTTACCAGAGTTTTGAGGAATCTCTAGCGTTCCCATCATTATCTTGTCGATCACGAAGTTGAACGCTGATTGAGGAAGCGTACATCCTTGTCAGACATCACTTCCTGAATAAGGGCTCTTGGAGGACTCGCTGTATACTTCCATAAGACCACAGGTCAGTGAATACAATTTATTAAACTGACAAAATTCCAAGGCAGTATTTGTTGCGTAAGCATGCCAGAGTCAAACGCGCCCTGTAAATCCAGCAGTACCGGCATGGTGGGCGGCTTATAATTATGGCTTGGTTCTAGCACTTGGTAGTGCGAAGATGTGGTTAACGCAAGCCCTACTCGGTGGAAATTCCGCTTACTGCTCTCGAGCCCATTTTTCACGGGTTACCGTAAGGCGACGAAGGATAATTGACGCCAAGAGTCTCGCGCACCACCCTTTGTTACCCAAACATCAGTCCCACCCAATAATGTGGCTTTACCGTTCATGCCTTGCCACTTAAAGAGGGACCACCCTTCAAAACAGGTCGCTTCTGGCTGGGCCCTCAAAGCGCACTTCAACATCAAATTTATTTCAAGAGTAGGGTGGATTTTCGGCCGGTCTCTTGAAAGATGGTCTTTACACAAAGAAAGGACTGTTGGAGCGGTTCTCTCCTGAATGGAAATACACGTAACTTTTTCTCCAAAAGCAATTTGTCCATTCCCTAAGACACACCACTGTGTTAGTAAATATGCTGCAGGAAGTAATTCAATGAGTTAGACATTCCGCACTGCTGAAGACGAATGGATTTAGAAAATTACCACTAAAGTTTCGTGACCACCAAAACCTCCTCGGCACATAAGAAACACATGTAACGCACTCGAAAACATCTCATGTAGTTAGGTGAGCCTTCCCAATAATTTCCAGATCTACTCAGAACTTGTGAAAAGCATTCGGTTGGGGATTTCCAAAGAGGAATAAATGGTTGTGGGGATGCAAAGCACAGCACCATATACAGAACATGAAGTCGCCACAAATATACACTTTCCCTCGGAAAAAGATGCACAAGGGGAGGGCGTACCGGCGAAATGTGTGTCGACCCTGGTGTGAGTAAAGGATCCTTGTCAGATCAGACAAGCTGAATATGATTTTTAGGATCATCAACACTACTATGATCATCATCTTCAACAACAACAAAGCGGTAGATTGACTAGAAAAACAAGCGAATGCAGTCAGCGATGATTCACCAGCGCAGAAAATGATTAACACACTGGATGTGGGCCAACTTCTGGTGGTGACTGGTTAGCCACCAAATACGGGAAACGGCGCAAACATCAATCATGTCCACGGGCGAATATTATGTGTGGCTTGGATAACGCGAAACCAACATCCAATTACGCGAATTTCCCATTGTGACCAGGGTCGCAGGTGTATCCAGCTGTTTGCCGTGTGATGACTCAGCGAAACGCAGCTGTCAATTTATCCGGACGGAACCGGCTTGACTAAAAGGTTAATTGCGTCTCTTGACAGACAGAGAAATGAAGACACTGATGACTGGTAGCAGGTGTAACCTGTCTGTTCGATCGAAATTTACGGATGTTCGAGAAAATGTTGCGTTCACCCCTGTAAGTTGAGCAGCATGGGATCAAGAGGGACGACGACGAAAGATATTAGTCGAATTCGTTGCGATAGATTTTCAAGAAAGATGAATTGCAAAGTCAGTACTTCGGAACTGAGTTCCCGACATCGGGTCAACACAGAACTGCAATGGTTGGTGTACTGGAGGGATGGTCGACTCGGGGTGCTGCAACGGTTCCAATAGCGGGCAGTTGAAGGTGATCCTGGGCTATGGACACGCTAGATTGCAGAACTTCACGTTTGGGCAAGGTAATTTTTCAAGCCACTGATATCCATACTCATGCAATGTAGTGCATTCCTAATTATATATTGCACATAGTGACCAGGTTTTGACGAATTTCGAGGAAAAGTACACTTGCGGACAATTCATGACTTGACACCGAACTTGCAAGATAAGAATACGAGTAAGCACGATGCCGATCGGGGAAAGGACGGCAACAGCAGTAAACACATGACGTCAAACAACTTTTTGGGTGGCGCGATCACACCATGGCACGTGAGATAACATGGAGCGCAAAGCAGTTAAACAAACTGGGACCATTCGGCTGAGGGACAACGCTGACCAAAAAGCACAACCTACGCGGTGGACGGATGAATTAATTAAGGAACCGATGGGTGGAAAAAGTGACCCCATGCAAATGTGTCCAACCACATATCGATCAACTATTGAAGGAATAAACAGACTGTACATAAGAGCATCTAGGCGAAGGACATGAAGAAAAGAACAGATACGAAACTGGCTGCAAACTACAAGCGTTAATTACAAGCCCTTCCAGAATCAGTCCTCTAAGCCTTTGGAAATCCATACCATCTAGCTCAGTTGTTGACCACTGGACAAATAACAGCTTAGCAAGGTTGACACATGGTCAGCAGCATTAGACTCAAATGTTCAAACGATCTCTGTGGCAACTAACTCACTCCTGTTCGATTTTCAAATGTAGATCCAACCGATGGCCTTGGGTGGTATGCCTTTTGGTCACACAACCCACAGCTGCTTGAGAATAACTCATACGACTAAGACTGGCTTTAAGAAACGTGCCAAACAATGCACGGAGCAGAAATGAGGACTCGCAAACAGTAAGGTCAAAATCTAAGGGCAGAGTAGTACTTTGTTGGAATTAAATGTTCATTAAGACCCTGGGAAGATATTTCGACACCTTGCATATCGTTTCAACTGAAACACGAGGTGGCCTTTGTGTAGTGCATTCAGTCTAAGAACACTGCACATGAGATTCGGTTTGAGTCTCGTCTTAACACCACCTCGATTTGCCAACGAACACTTAGCTCTAGTATAGGGAATAAGAATGAGGGGATTCGGCCTAATGGATAAACCCAAAACGGGCACAACCAGTAGTGGGTCTTCCAGGAGTTTCCATCAACCATCAATCGTTTCAATGATAACACTCGTTTTCTCCTAGATCAAACCCAGAACGAGCAAAGCCCGACATTTTTTCCATAATGGATGTTAGGGAATGAGCTCGCCTTCTTGTAACGGTACAGCGACAAACAACCGGAAATGGGGATATATGGTAGCTAGGAGTGTGATAAACTAATCAAAAGCAACAGAAGGGACAAGACGGTCACAGAAGAGTCTATGTGCACAGGCCTGACTAATTTTCATTAGTCTGGTTAGATTCCCCCACAGAATTTGAGAGATCAGCTACGATTGGACGTAAACATACAAGATAGATTCAGACAGAATTAAGCCGATAGAAATAAAGCTGATGTTAAAATGATGAGACTTTGCAAACCTGACACGATGATAAGCGCTTGCTAGCCCGTCAGCCAAAGGTCGTGAATGTGATCATATTAGCGAAATACACTCATTCGCAAACAAATTTGGTTTTGCGAAAACGGTCGTGGGTTGTCGGAGGATTTTCAGCGACCGTCCAGTAGTGCTTTAAGTGACAATATTGTTGTAAATGTTGACAGTCGGCAAAAAAGGTGGAAATATGCTGAAGAAATCCGTAAGAACATCCCCTTGATGTTATACAAGGGAAGAAAATAGCTTATTTACGCGTCGTTTGACGCCGGTACACTAACCTAGACATTATGGCCCAGCGGGGTAAACGAACTGTTGGTAAATACAAAGTATTGTCAAGTAAAAACAAGTGGGATAGAAGGAATGCCAATGGCCAGAGTTCCAAACACACGGTTAGCCTTCTGGCGCCTATACGCATCCCCGGGCGCTACCGAGGAGAAAGTATTTGATGACAGATGTGAGTAACCTTTATCAAACATAAAGAGTTGGTTTCACTTGATTCTACAAACCTGACTGCCGCTCTTTAGCGGTCAGCTTTTAACTCTGGAAGGAAGATGGCCGGATTGGGATAAACTGCCCCTGAGGGATTCATACCTCCCACAAATAAAAAGCACTCGGCACATACGCTGGCTTGGCTAGATACTACATACTGTCCACGAAAACCTGCCAAGATAATTTCGGTCGTTACAGCCCAAGGCCTTCTAATTGATCTAAATAAAAGAGTAGTCGACGTTCCTCAGAACATTAGGTAAATACTGTGAGAAATCATACACAATTACATCAAAATTCTGTGATTTCCGGGAAAGGTGGTAATAGCCTGATGATGAGAACACAACGAACCAAGATCGGTCAAAAAGAACGTCAACGCTTGAGACGTGCAACTGAAGCACGTGCAAATGATCATGAATCAGACTGGTGTAAATTCCAAGTGGGAATCCCGGTGGGCAACTTGCTCTCCCCTTACGGTGGGTCAGAGGGGCGTTGGACTCGGGAAACATAGGCGTTCAAGATAACTGCTTGCTCTGTGATGACTATTGGAGGGTAATCTCCAGGGAAGTGACCGGAATTTAAACCAATCACATAAAATGGGCGCTTGTAAAACGCGCACATTCCAACCACCAATGTTTTACTCGCGAGCAGGTGGGAACAACAGGATAGGAATAAGATTCTGAGCCACAAATGACGAGAAAATGGATGATTATCCATTCGCCCGTTTGTTAAATGAAACACATCTCTACTAACTCCATGCAGAATTCTTCCACAGTCGTGTTTTCGTCCCTACAAGTAATGACCAAACAACGGTGTGGTGCCACTGAGAAGCGAAATAGCTTGGAGAACTGTGCACTTACCTACCTTTTCGTAAACAGTCGAAAGGAAGTGAACAGTCTGTTGCTCACGTCAAACCTCCGGTTGGCCTGATTGTGCTAGCTATTTATCATTGTCAGAAATGCGAGTATGGATTCGCGTCCGGATACCATAACAAGAACGAACTTAATGGAATAAACTGGACTGTCACCCACCCCACTCCTCCAAAAACGGAGTAAATGTACGAAGAGCCCCCCACCCCCCAAGCCACTCACAATTCCTTTGAGACTGTTGCATTCGCGACGGATTGCCTCACGTTCGGATTCGATCAAAGCAAGTTGGTCGACAAGCGCACGGTGTTTATCGTTTGCCAATCGACTGACTGTGTCCAACAACTCAGCTTGGCGACGCTCCACCAGGGCGATTATCTCGGAGAATTTCGAATTGATGGACTGTAGGGAGAAAGAGATGGAAAAAACGGCGGGAGGCATACCCGTGAAACGCTTGTAGATGTTAGTCAGGGACAAGCGAATGGATACACGGTACTTCAAGATTATTCGGATTAACCGGAATGTCTAGACAGTAGTGTTTGTGTACGAGACTTGAAAATTTTAAATGATGGTGGGGGGGGGTAGTTTCTGCTGAGTACGCTGAAATACGAACGGCCGACAATCCACTTAAAGTGTGTATGGATGCAAGGCAAGTTTGAGGGATGTAAAATTCATGTGATGTACAAATACTGTTTTGAATAGTTCCATTGTGAATAGCAAAGGTAGTCTGGGAGTGAGTATGTGTGTGTTGATCGGCAAAGTGCGTCTATACAGTCGGCCCAACTGAATATCGAATATGAGCCACAAACACTTGAGCGCAAGAATTTTATACGGGATAAAAAACTTCCTTCAATGTGAGGCGTCTAGTGTCGTTGAAACAGGACTGTTTAACAGTCCACGGAAACTGTCTGGGTTGACAAGTAAACAGTATTACCTCGAATTGGGAAGTGTCATTCGCTGGCCTCCTTGGCTTTTGCTGGTGTGCATGGGACAGGGTAACGCTAACAGACTGAGGGGACCAATAGGAGTATGCTCATTTGGGTAAACTGGCTATTTATGAAAGTCTTCCTCAGGTTCGTATTGCCAGATATTCGGGGAAAGAAAGACAGCAGCTGGCAACATAATCCAGCATGGTTATTTTCACCTTTGTTCCGTGCTCCATATCCCTTATACTGACTTCATCCCGAAAGGTACTTTGAGGAAATCAAGCTGAGGGTTTTCAGCTCATCTACATCCTTCCCATCAAAGACTGTCAATGCTTCAGATATATCAAGTATAAGCCACCGAATTCCTGTCCGGTTAGTCAGCATGGTATTGGAGGAGGAGAATGAAAACACCCCAGCTTTACACAACAATATACCCTTGAATGGATGAAATTAAATGAAACGTCCAAAATGAAATATATCTTTGTAAAATGTCTTTTGAAGGGCAGATATTTCATACGACAGGGGGAGACAACCCAAAAAAACTGTTGAGAACTGGTACGCAAGTATCATTCACCTACAAGGATATACATACAAAACGTCAGGTAGCCTGCAAAAGGGCAAAGACCACCAGAGATCTTGGGTGAGTTGTGCAGCAATGTTGCCAGATTACGGGATGACTCCAATGGAGTTGCTGATAGTGTGTTACACCAGAGTGTGAAAAGTATGGATTATTCCGAAAGACTCAATAATTCACAGCCCGAACACGCCCGGAAATACAGTTCATCATTCTGGTTGCGAGAGTTGATTGCCGATTCCTGTTTTCGTCTGTTGTAAAGACACACCACTCAATGTGTACATAAAAGAAAGGAAAAAGTGAACATGAGTACTTAGTCACGTTTCTTCGTGTCATCCGTCAGGATGTCATCGAAAACCCGGCACACCAATGGCTAGAAGCCCTAAGGACATCATACGACCAACGGTGTTATTGTATCCACTCCCTTACCCTTAACCCATCAGTTGCTCGACGCTAATTGACTCCACTGATTGCCCTATGCATTATTAGTATCCAGATGTCTTGTCAACACGAACCAAAGTAAGCTCGCAAACGATTCACGATTGAATTGCGCTGGTGTGCACCGGTGAAGGGAATGACGCTGAACAACAAGATCAACACAACTCAAGATAAACGAAAATTGACGGGATCTGGGACATACGAGCAATTACAACACCTGTAGTTAATTGCATCCGAAGAGACCGCCTGAAATTGCACAGCTAGTATGGGTTTGGCGTCGTTCTTCTAATAGTATCAGGAATTAGAAGAAATCTACCAGACAGTATATGAGGACTACGGACAAGAACGACCCACACCGTCCAGAGCACGTACCTCAACGCAAAGACTTTTATTTATCGACAGACGGTCCAATTCAGCGGAAACAGCACTCTGCGCACGATCCAACTCCTGTATACATAAATGCATCTTATACAACATGATCTCGGTGCACCTCTTGATGGCGACATTGAAACTGATGACATTGTGGTTGAGTGCAGAGGTGCCGGAAGTTGTGGGCGTTCCAACACCAGAGTGTTCGTTGGAAAGGCATAAGGGAACATTGGCTGTGTCACAGTCGCTCAACGCTTCACATCCGGACGGGTGAGCTGCGTGACTCCGACCACGGCACTCCGTGCAAAACACAACATCACATGTTTCACAGAACAACAATTCTTGGTTGGGGTGAATACGACATTTGGGAACCACATCGCGCCGCTGAGTTGCCAACAAATCCAACAGCTGGTTGACGATGAAAGCCGGGGGAAAGGACGATGCGCCACCAGTGGGGACGGGTATATCTTCGCGGCAAATCGGGCAACGAAGTGAAGTGGCCTGAGACTAAAAAACACGAAGAACAGGGTAGTCAACTGGATTTGAAGTAACCGGTTTCAACATCATCCCACAAAAACGACCGAAAAATAACATTATTTGAGGAATATGAATGCTCCGGAAAAGTACACGAACCACATCAAACCAAGTGCCCCCAATATCGAATGAGACGAATAGCGGTAATGTCTCTATCTGGGGTTAAAACCCGTCCGCAGACTGGGGCGTTGCGAATTCGAGAGCTTATGTGGAGGTCTAAAGTTTATTGGATTTACTGTGTCGTAGGGTAGTAAATCTTGATGACTTTGGAAGCCACAGTAAGCCATCGAATGAGAGCATGCACAGACTATCACTAGTACACTTAGCTCTCCGGTGGATGTGTTGGAGATGTACCCAGATTTCTCTGACGATAGTAAAACATGAGAATAATTTGGACCCATCACCTGGAGACCACACATTAGGTCATGGCTGGCAGGGGACACTTGTTTTAGACCAACTGAGAAAATGATCGCGTTTCAGAGGGGTTCCCTTGGATGAAATGTTACCCAAATTTGGTGCAAAACAAACAGCTGAATAGGGAAATCCCTTTCATTATATCATTATCGAAATCGAAAGTGCATGAGTTCAAACGCAACAATCGACAAATAAGTACTCAGTGAGGACATACAAACCGCTGAACTGAATCTACAGCAAGATGAGGACTGCATAGGTTACCATAACTTCAATGACGGCAACAGCAGGGCAGTGGTGTATGAGAACTCTCATTTGAAAGCAGTAAAATGATAACGACGTGGTTAACCTGTGGTGGCATCCGAAGAACAAAAGCAAGGTAGCTCAGCTGTCTTATACAAAATACAAAACAAGGTCAGCGGTAAGTATACCGCAGATGCGAGCAAAAGTGCACCAGCGGGGGATCATTCGGTCAAATTTCATCAAACAAACTCGAGTTGTGTAATCCCGTCGTTGCATTCTTGCAGTTCATAGGTTGCTCGACACAGCTCCGGCAACCTACTGCCAATGCGAATTCATAACACGAGTTATGCTCTAAGTTTCAGTTAACCTGGAAACCATACTGAGCGCAAGATCAGAGTGTCCCTGGCCTAGCAGTGTCTGTGTAAGTTATGGTCTCGAGTAAAATTGCTAAATGTGTGACTTGTTAAAAGGATTTTCCGTTAGAAACGGCAATGGCCCTGACATATATTCCCACGACCAGCCGAAGAAAGCAACCAAACCTCAGGGAATCAGTTGGTTGGATAAGTACATCTTGATATCTTAGGCTACGATCCAAGAGAATTAGCGACACATTAGTTAGGCTCGATCCGTAAAACAGCAGAAGCCATTTGATGATACAGGTGAAGGCATGTGGGTTCTCGGAATGAAGGTCGCCGTTACATAAAACAGAAGTAGAACCGTTTATTGAAGTGCTTTTTTGTTTTGACCCACGTGAAGAATTCGTTAGGAAGTCTGATTACTTGAAGATAAAAATGGACTGCCATCAGGTGGCCAAACTTCCTATTACATTTCAACAAGAATCCACTTAGCCCCGTATTCTGCAAACGCATAGGTGCGAACAGTGTCCAAGTCACACGCAACCGACCCTAACATTCAACTGATCAGTTCCAATCATTTGCATTTCAGGATTAAGCACACTCTGCATTGTAAGGGACCGTTTAGTTGCTTTTTTCTTTTTTTTTTTCAAAAAACCACCTATCTACCTGGGCGAACAAACCCATCAATGTTAAAATAAGATAAGAAGTGAAATGAATCGGTGTTTATGGAGAAAATTGAACTCGATTAGGGGGTATGCTGAATTCCACATCGAATTCCACATCTGGAAAATATATGAATGTCTTTTACATCGCCATATCCATCATCTTAGGCGTGAAGTCCATCTTATACCGGGTGCATTATCACCGCCGACTGCGATTTTTTTTATTGAAGAGATCGACCCTAGCACATTTCGTTCCGGGGGGCCAGTTGTTGGAAGTTTCTCCCCATGTTACGATCTCCGAATGAAGTTGCTATGGTTTCCATATAAGCAGATTTTGTCCGATGCCATATGGCTCTCTAAATTCAGATTTACAGCAAAATAACTCACCCTCGATAGATGAACTGATCACACTGCACAGGTTGCGCTGGCTTGGCCACGTGTTGCGTATGCCAGTCGACCGACTTCCTCGAAGGACTCTTTTCCCCCAACCATGTGGAGGGTGGAAGAGAGCCAGAGGCGGCCAAACAATGACTTGGCAGTGAATTGTGAAAGCCATTACCAGCAAACTCAGCTGCGCTGGTCACTGCCGTCTTCCTGGATGGGGACCCCGAGACGGGCCACATCAATGGCTAGAGACATCAGACATGGCCCAGTCACGTCCTCAATGGCGCTCGTGCACCAAAGCTATTGCCTTCAATGCATAGCTCCTTTTCCAACCCCCAACCCCCACTTGATAGCCCAGTGACAGTGCTGGATTTATGCACCAATTTACCAGCTCGCGCGTGCAATGCGCAGCTACCTACCCCCCCCCCCCCCAACACTGCTCGGAGGCAGCTACAACCACTGTACGACGAGTACGCGGTTCTTACAGCTGACAATGATGATGATGATGAGATTTTCAGCAGATCTCATGAAAAACTTGGATTAGTTGAACTCACTACCAAAGAGAAACCGAACCTTGTCGGAGTATGACGGTTTGTTCGCTTTCGGAACTCGCTGAGCTTTACGGTGACCCTCGCAGTCTCTCGCACCAGTTTAATCGACGAATGGAGGTCTGAATAACTGTTCTCTGGGGCTCCAGTCTAGCGGATGAAACATGTGGTGGTGCAGTGTCGTCAGCAGGGTCGCCTCACTTGCTGCATACAGCAGGGCTGGTAAGCAAAGACGTGGTGACACCCGACCATTCCTTTTCATATACTCTTCTCCTATCCCTTCCTCACTCCATTGACCATTCCGTCCTTGCAGGCCCATCCGTTAGGAACAAAGACACTATTCATCTCACATCACGCTTAGCTGTGACATCTGTGCGTCAGTCGGCGACGACAGTATCGTGAAGACTTCTAAATCACTGTCCAAGCCTCGCCGCTCCATTTGTTCGACCAGTTTTAGTGTTACAAGATAAGAAAAGCGCAACAACAGGTTGCTCATGCTCACTCACTGGATTCATCTAAAATTGTACTGAAACAAGGATTCCAAGCCTGAGTAAAATCATTTAGCCGATCGTTCCATCATCCACCAATCACTTCCAGCTGCGCAGCTCTGGCGATCCATGCTGCAACAGGCTGTGCAAGGGTCAGTATCGTTCCACGCAACCTGGCGGAAGGGTAGTTGATAAACTGGATACCCATCGATAGTCGCTCCTGTAGGGTTCGTTTGAAAACGTCGACAACGACAGACTGTTAGTTATTAGTTATTTGTTTATCGCGTCTTCCTTCACCCCGACAAACTCCAGTTCTGACACCATCAAATAAAGTTTCCACGACACTTTGAGCGGTATAAAAGCTCTGATACCGTCCAAGGTTGCCGAGGGGGGGTTGAGTGCACAAATGATCAGTGCAGTAAGGCTGACTCTAATGAGTGGCGGACTTAAATTCGGCACGAACTGGCAACAGAAGAAAGATTGCTTTACTTATGTGCTGACCGCAAACTGTTTTTAAGCAGCACCAACTCTCGGAATAACTGAAATTTCCTGATTATACGGTGGCCCTCAACAGCGTGCCAGACATGGGTCATGAATGACCACGCCGCCATCGCCACCGATGGCATCGTCAATAAATAGGTGTTGTTCCTATTGTTCCTCGCATGAATTGTTGTGTGTGTTTGTCGCATGAATTCTGACCGACCACTCATCCGAAGTAGCCTCTCTTTACTCTTCGATGCCACACAGGCGGTGAAAAACTCGTCAAGAAACTGATAGGCACGCAGATCGGGTTTAATAGAATTCAGCTACTGAGCCCTCTTCCAACTGATCCACAATCGAATGTTAAATGGCACTGGGAGGATATCGCTTCATCTTTGCTCAATGCCGGGAGTTTTGCCTGCAGAATGGCACAGCCAAATTCACTCAAGTACTGGATATCAGGTGGAACAGTGGCAGTGCTTGAATGTCAAAAATGATTCCCTCGGTTCCAAGTATAATTTAACCGGGTGGGTTATCATACGTCTGTTGAGAATTAGTGTGAGCTGACCGTGAAGTGTAAGGAAGCAAAACGGACGAGGAATTCATGAGGCTCAGAGATTTTCCCGTTGATCCGTGCAACGGTCACCTGTGGACGGAACCATTAAGTATCAAATCGGTTCATTAGTCTTCAATAACGAAGGACCACTGGGCCGCGCATCCTAGACAGTAATGCTCGTGACCTTCAACTGCCATGCGGCCGGAATCTCGAACAGTACTAGAGCCCACGAAGGTTATCCTGGGACTTCCTCGGAGGTTAATGATTCGAGCGTCCCCAACCTCCTGGTTCCGTTGACTTTTAACCAATATTGTCCTAGGATAGCAATAGGTTCCCAAAGGTACTAGAGTTTGCTAAACTGCAGGCAGGTAATAATACTACTGTGGGTATCAACAGTGGAGAGAGTGCCGTCGTTTACTACAAAGGCGTCATGGATTTGCACAGCTTGTGGGCTTTTACCAGTGAATTTTTTATTTCCCGTCACACCACCATTCCTTCCATGAACACCATCCGTCACCTGAATCGACGGCCTTCAGTCACATGAACAACACGTGCATCTGAACTTTATTGCAACAGTAGCTATGTCGAAACAACATCGCCTTCCCATATTTTACTCCACAGCCTAAACCAACGCACTTTTGACACAAGGTTCATAAACCATACTAAACGGATCACACTTAGCTATCTCACCATCCCAATTACGGCTTCGATCGATAAGTACCACTGAGTACTAGCAATTGTCATAGGTTATGAAGCACAGGATCGATGCAATTCACATCGTTGAGGCATAAGTTTTGTGGCGTTGACATTATTGAATCTTTCAAAATTAGCATTGGCTAGACTGTTGCTTATGCCTGGCCTAAAACACAATAAACAAAACCAATGAAAGTTACGCAATGGTATTCTGAAAAAAGAAAAAACGGCTGAGTAGTGTTTAAAAGACCTGGGTTCCACGAAAGATGCAAGCCAAAAACGCTGCCAAAAGGCGGTAGAGGTGAGCTATCAAACTCCTCAAAGACTATTGCTTCAATATTATGATGATATCAATTTAGTGTCCTACTGGTCAAAAAGGTCCACAATAGTTCACGAAAAGAAAGACCAGTGTTACCAACGAGGAAATGTAGAACTTAGTCCATCAGCCATTTTGCACTTCGCCTTGGATATAGGAAATTATCATTAGGATCAACAGAAATTTGTGCTAAATGCTGAGTTACTTAGAAAGCCACTCTGGGTCACCTTGAACACTTCCGAAAAACACTTCTGGAACACTGCTAAAACACTCAACTGCTCTTGTGTGGATGCACGGTAATGTCTAAAAAGAAATGAAGAGTAATAAGGAAATCTAAGTCATACTTTGAATTCTGTCCTGTCAAGTTAAAACACCACATTGAGAAGCTGGTCGAACATTATGGACAATGCCGAAAACCTCCTGAATCTTGCATGACTCAAACACACGGTATTTCACACGTGAAACGCACGCCCTGGTCGGACTACGGTTAGCTGATGACTGCGATGAACAGTCTGCATTGATACAGAAGCCGATACAACAAATCTCCAAAAATACAAATGGAGATTCCAATACCCTGGTTAACTCCGTACTTCAAATATATTTTCTAACTTCCATACAACTTGGAGTCTCTCACCGAATGAGGTGTCTAATGCTCGCATCAAACAACAGTTTTACAATGTTTCCGTCCTGAAAAATAAGTTTGCGCCAGGGGTTGCTTTGCCACATTTTACTTGGGTTCGCGCTAAATGGCTAAGTGTTGAATTCTAAATAACAGTTACCGAATGCGGATAAAATTAACCTCGCTGTGAAAAAGATTAAGCGGAGCGAATGGAAAGCAACGATCTAAGTGTCGACGGATGGTTGACATTTAGATTGAATATATCCCGGTAGTTGTGCGAAACCACAAAAAGCACAGTAATGTACCTCGTTCGATTACACGAAAAGAACATACCTGGGTCTCCAAAATCCGATCTAAACACGATCGACAAACAGTATGCGAACAAGGAAGTAGCTTAGCCGCATGTTCGCAGGTATCATATCCAGTGAAACACGTACCGCAGGTGAGAAAACTATCCGCGAAATCGTCCACGTTGATCATAACAGTTTCAACTAAACGCGACGCCATCTGAAGAATGACAGAAAACCTTGGTTGAAATGTGGGTATCAATATGGGTAGAAAAACTGAGATGCAAACAAATTCTGCCAGTTTTTCTGCTGGCAACCAGACGAGTCATATAACTGCTGTAGTCCAGAATTTAGTCAGATGCGAATGGGAAGCGCTCTAATGGTGCAAATAATGATAAACATCAGCATCAGTATCAGCGCAGACAACAATGTCTCGCCATTATAATTTTTTTTCAGAAAAAAAGAGGCCGAGCAGAATATCGTAAAAATAAAAAATAAATCGTTCAGCTGTAACACCCCTCCGGCGCCTAGCTGCTATGCCACCCGAAGGAAGCACGAGGGCTGGGATACTGCCGGGTTGCCCAAGCCTAGACAGGGGAAGTCGAGAGGCAGAGGTTGGGTTCGAACTACGAACCTTCCGGTCATTAAATTCGCGCTCTAACTACTTGAGCCATACCTAACCCTAGAAGCAAAATATGAAGCACCAAGTTTAGCTTAGTTGACCGGCTATAAACCATACACCAAAGATAAATTGGCCTCAGCTGCTACAATTTTGATAAACGGAAAGTGGGATAGTGTGGGATATATAAGCAAGCATTCGAGGCGACGCCATGTTCAGTTAGTCCGGATACTGGGAAGCCGCGCAATGGCTGTGTTAGCTTTAATCCACCAGCCCCATTGATTGCACGACTGAGCCATGTTTACCAGTGTCATTAACCATTAATGAGTTGAGTTTCGGAGTCACCAGCCTTGGAGGTGGTAGTTATTGACCTGACTCAGTTCACCAGTTAGTTTTTCTCATAATTCATTGTTAGATCATATTGTCGGCTTCTCCATCGCTTCCACTCAGCACAAAGCTACGTGGAACTGTGAAGCAGGCGGTTCTCTAGTATGCGGGGTATTTTTTCATGCGGGATATATATATCCCAATTAGCGCAACCTATTAGGCGTGAGTAGCTGATCCATCGTGTGTGTGTGGAGGGTTCGCTCTTCCTAAAACCACCTGACTTACCTCAGGATTGCTGGTCCGATGTTCCAATCACACTCGGCCAATTCTTCAGGGACACTGATGGTCAAATGCTGATAGCTTTTGTACATCCTCTGCGCGTAGAGGCCATGTTTCTAGTCCATAAAGCAGTATGGATCAAACTGCCGTAGTGCACGTTCTGCTCTCGGCAGACAAACTGACGTTAGGCCGATGCCATAGGTGTCAAAAGCTTCTCTCGATTTGAGAAGTCCACCGGAAATTATACAGCTGACGAAAAATCTCTGGGCTAAATGTATTACCGTACTCATTTTGACAATAGTCGATGTGCTCTCGTCAGTATCCAACTGCCTCACACTTGTCCCCTCAGATACTTGAAGGACACGTAAAGTATACTAGCCTGTCCCCTAATTAAGCACCTCTGGTCATCCAGGAGGTTACGGCTAACTATCCGAAAAATTCCTCATATCCGGTGGACGTTGCCATAGCTGCCTTGTTTCCTCTTTTGTTTAACCTTATCACTGACACAATCATAGAGTGCGCACCCTAATGAACTGCGAATAATGCCATTACAGTAACATCTAGAGAAAGGTCAATGAAGTCAGACTATGTGGGAAACATTTTCTCGCTATACACTGATCAATGTCTACTGTATACTCCAACGAGTGACCTTCGTTTCAGCACACGTTTCGCAACTTCAGAGGGCACTCTCATTTCAGGATTTCCAACTCATTTGTATCGTTCTGAGACTCCAGGAAGTGGGTTTGAGTTCACATACATATCAACACAACTGCTTAAGGCATGATAACACCACGATAGAAATCGATGCACGCATAGTCAGGGCAACATTTGACAACTTGCGTTGTGAATGGAGTCAGGAGAGTGTGCTTGTTGGCTGCAAAATCTGACTCCTCTGATCTGAAGAGGAATCGCCGGTACCACCAATCAATAGCTGTCTGGAACGCTTTCGCAACCACGTCGTGCGTAGGTGCGCATTTAGTAATCAACCAGATCACTAGATCGACAAGGCTGGTTAGGTTGTGGATGGAACATGTACCACACATGTCCAGCGACCATCTACCAAAATAAAATACAGATTCCAACCTCGGACTATTGGCAAATTGTTTCCCATAAGACAGGCCAAGACATGGTTGAATGGCAGATTGGTAAATTAACTACTGGTGTATCATCTCTGGTTGTACATGTGCACACATGTCTCAATCTCCAACCCGGAGGATGAGGAGACTGTGTTCGTCAGACCCTTTGACCAACCTGGTATGAGATACCTTGTAAGCGTCGCGCGGACGCCCCCAGTATAGCTCAATGATTCGCCGAGGTACACAAACTGTCACACCACGATGAGGTTCAGTCTCTTCCTGACGGATATCATTTCTGAATAAATATGGTAGTGATATACCCCGACGAAATCAATTCGCCTCAAATTCGTGCCACTTCTCAACTCACGCAGTGTCAGTGTGATAAATCAAGAGCATCTGTCGCAACCGGAGCGAAATCGAATGCTCAGGCGTACAGATATTGAAAATCAGGACAATGGCTTTTTCGTAGAGGATCCTAGCAGCTCGCAACAAGTTACCGATCGAATCCATTTACATAGAGATTCCATCGGACTAAAAACCACATGTACTATTGTGAACGTCAGTTTTTGGAGAACTCGTGGCTGTTTTTTGATATAGCTGTGAAATTCGGCCGTGAGACCCGAAGGTCATGAATGTGTTCATATTTTTTTATGATAGATTTTATCACGGCATAGCAGTCCTCAATTGGCTGCATCATGCCTGTAATGAAACGGCCTCTAAGCAAGTATAAGGTTATTAGTTGGATTCACGACAGTAGAAAACAAGGCCTATTAGGTTAATGTGGTTGGGACATGTGTGGCAAACAACTGTCTATCAACAAGAGCTATGTTTTCCACTCCTAGCCCTTGTTTTGTGGCGGCAGTCGATGACGTGGCAACTAACCAGTGTTGTGGAATCTTCGCGCCTTCCTGGGTGAGGTCCACGTGATTCTCCACACACGCGGCTGTAAAGCGTAAGAGGCATTGTACGTAATCGATTCTAGTGACGAACTTTCTGTCAGTTTCTAGCTGTGCCAAATGGCTAACACTTGCCTTCATTGTGTGCATTATGTTAGGTGAGGTTTACAAACGATCGTGGATCAAAAGCGCTGATGGTGTCTAGCGCTAACATGGTGCTTAAATGGCTTAAATGGGTTTGGGAATGAAAAGGTTCTCATATTTAACGGTTTTTAAGAGAACTTGCAGTACATCCTCCCTTCCTCCTCCATTTCGCTCCTCACCAGGAACTTCTTCCTCCGTAATAGCTAGACTCAAGTGCCCATTGTTATACGACTGTCCGTGCTGATGACGCCAGTGGTGATATAAGGCAGAAAGATGAGGCAAAAGACGAAACTGAAAGCGCCGATACAGTCCAAACAATTCTCTCCTCACTTCAAAAAGCGCCATGGTTTTGAACCTAGATGAGTTTATGCACAAAATTCAGCGCATTCTGAGCCACCACCCACCTGGTGTTCCCCTTCAGATACGATACAAGTTCAGTGCGGATAAAAAGTGCATGGAAACTCCGAGGATGGAAACGAAACAGGAATGAGAATAAGAAATCAAAACCGAATATTCGGCCGCGCTGTTGCGGCATTCAGAAAATTGCGCCCTTGGACGCCGAGTCCAGTGGCTTAGTCACGTCCCAAGACACCAAGATGGTAAAATAACTGTTCATAAGCCAGCGTAATCAACCTTCTCTGAGTAAATATGTTGGCCGGTGGACTGAACCGGTCAGACGATATGTTAAATGCTTAAGTGTACAACCAGTTTACGGTGTTTACCATCATAATCAGGACGCGCGTACAGATCTCGCTCGACCTCAAAACCATTCCTGAGCAGCTATGATCCGCGAAATCACTGAAGGTTACTCATCATCCAGTAGGAACAGAGCTCGAGATAGCTCAGTAGTTAAAGCGCAAAATCCTGGTTTCTCAATTACCCCCATTTGGGCTTGAGCAACCCGGCAGCCCTCATGCTTTCACCAAGCTGGACACAAGCCATAAACTGAAAGAGTGCAACAGCTGGACGAATTGTAGTGGGAAACAGTTGCAGAAATTTAAAGTAATAAGCGCCCGTGTTTTCACACACGACGCTCCCCCATTATGTACGGCAGTGAAGCATCGGTGTCATGCTGATGTCATGCTGTCGATGATGATGATGACCCCCTATTATGATGGTGGTAACTATCCATATAGGATTTTCAGTAACAATCTCCAGAACACCAGAAGCAGCCTGAAGAAGCGGTGCCAAACAACCAATCAGCATCGAATCCAAATTGAGCATGTGGCTGAGATCGATCACTGCCTGACGCTCCTTCTAGAGTACCTTTGTGGATTCTGATTATGGAGTTGCCTGTTGCTGCTTTTCATTGTGCTTTTCTGCCTTACGTAAAACTCACATACTTCACCTAACTACTGATAAATTCCAGGACCCAGCAATCAAACAAACCTGTCAAAACCGACTCTCCCGACGCCTGCCGGCTGCTCAGATGTCGGATGTCAACGGTCATTGGAGACATGTATCCAAAGCGCTACTCAATGCCGGAGCTTTTGTCTATGGTAAAACCCAGCCAACCTTATCCAAACACTCAACCTCTGATAGAACCATGGCTTTCCCGCTCCTGATCGCAACCCCAACTCAACCCGAAGCATCTTCCGGTGCCAGGTGGAATTGAGAGTCCCTGTAGAGGGAAGCTTCCCGGATCCGAAAGGTTGAAGAAATGGAGGATGTGAAAAGTGCTGGAAACGTCCGCAGTCTGTTCCACTGGATTCGCTCAATTGGTCCTCGGGTGCCCCTTATTGGCAAAACCATCAGGAACCGAAATAGTTATCCGATATCCAGTAAAGAACGTTTGTATCGTTGGGCACAGTTTCTCCAACAATTCAGTCGGTCACCTGCTACTTCCAATCCGGAATCCTAACCTTAAACAGAGTATGTG